AACATCAATCTTTTGTGAAAAGTAAAACCAAAACTTTGCAACTTTAAAAACTCAGTATCAATAAAAAAAATCACTTCTAATTTTATTAAAAACCAGTGTAACTATCTTTGATTTACTGCAAGGATTTTGTCCATATTCACTTTATTTTAGAACTTTGAATTTCTATATAATTTTTCTTGATTCTTTGTGGTAAAGTACACCATACAAAATGTATGAAAATCTGACTATCAAAAATGTGTTTTGCAAAATGTTCTCATTCTACCTGCTTTTTTAAACAAGACCTCACTAAAAGAAACTGATTTAAAAAAAGAATGGTTAATGGTTAAAAACATAAATGTGCTAGACATCAAAGGTCATACAGCACTATGGTAAAGTACTGTGGCAAAAAAGGTAAAAATAACTTAATGATTAGGATAAAATGTGTTAAATCTAAAAGGATAGTACGGTAAGGAAAAGGCTAAAGAGGTGTAATTGAATTAAATGTTTAATGTTTAATTTTTGAAACAAATGTGCTACACATCAAAGTTCATATAGTAAAGTATTGTGTCAGAAAGGGCAAAGAAAAGTTAAAGACTATGATAAAACGTGTTAAATGTCAAAGATTAGAGAGCATTATAGGATAATATGGTAGTGAAAAGGGAAAAGAGGGAAGTAAGTGAACTAGAGCATAGATTAGTATAAAGGGGAGGGTTGAGGAGGTAGGGCAGTTGAGTGAATTATAGTGTATTTGTCACTGGGGAAGGTATAGGGAAAACGTTCAAGGAAAAATAAATGGCAGTAAGAAAAGTAGGAGAATATCCGGGAAGAGGGGATGGTGTTAGAGGTCAAAGAATTAAAGTTGGGATTAGTAAAAGAGGAAAGGGTTAAAGATGTAGGGTGACTGGATGAAATTGAAAGTATCTGTGGCTGAAGAAGGAAGTGGAACATTGTTTTATGAAACAATCAACAGGTAATAGAAATGCAGAAACTGCTGTTGGAGAAGTAGGAGAATCTGAGGAATGAGATAAGGAGATGGGTAGTTGGTGAAGAATCAGGAAGGATGTCAGAATAAAGATCCAGTAAAGGACACTGTTGCAACAAAAGGGATTCATGTGAGCATCCAGATGGGATTGGTAAGGATAATGGAGAAAGAAGAGGGAATGGTGGTGCACATGGAGGAGAAGATGGGGTGTTTTGGGGGAAAGTGGGAGGAAGAGGGGTAGGGGGAACTTGAGGAGGAATTGGCAAATACTTAGAATGAAGAGGGAATAGGAATGGAAGGACTGGAGGAGGAATGAGGGAGCAAAGTATTCTCTTGGGACATGTTTAAGAAGTTTTGAATGTCTCCAAGAGTTTCTTGAGGGGAGTTGGGCAGGGAGGTTTGAGAAATAAACATTTTCTTGTGAGGAGGAGAAAAGGGGATAGATGTCCAAGGAGCAGAGGAAGATAAAGGTGTAGGAAAGGATGTGATACAAGATGGAGTGGAAGATTTAGGTTGCCTGGTGTGACAGGTAAAGTGAGAAAGACGAAGGGTAGGCATTGGGGAAGTGGTAGAGATTGGAGATTGAGTCGATATGGACAGGACACTCCACCAATATAAACTTTACATGAGTCTACGGAAACTGATCTCAATAATATTGGTGTAGGATTTACATTTAGACTGGAAAAAGAATACAACGGGGGAGACAGGGAGTAGAGATAGGATAGTAAGGGGTAGGGAGAAGAGCTACTGGAGTCATAACAGAGTTGGGCACATAGAAGACAGTGGATTGTGGAGCAAGAGTGCTTGGCAGGGTGATCAAATTGCCAATATTGCTAATATTGACAAGAAAGAGGTTGACATGGTCAGACATATTAGGCCACTCCACCAATATGAACTTCATGGGGAAGGTCATGTCTATGGAAGCTAAGCTTGTCAGTACTGGTGCAGGACTTATGGTGGCCTTTGGAAAAAGTAGTGCAGAACTGTACTGATACTCATCATCATTGGGGTGCTAACACTGACAGGGGTGCTGAGACTCAGCCCATCTCAAGCTAGTCATGACAAGTTTGATTGATCTACACATACCACGACTACCTTGGTTGTGCCACAGGCCTTCTCCATCTAGGGTTGTCTCAAACAGAGACAACCTGGTGGGTAGGTTCACCGTGGGAAATGAGCCAGGTGCCCATATAACCTGAGTTGGTGATCATAGATTGTGCAAATAACTGTTGGTTGGACACTTGGCCCTGCCAACTGTACTCCATGATCCAGCACAAGGACTTATTACAAAACGCATCAAGACAAGATTCCAAAGTACAGGATAATGTCCAATTTTCACTAGCATCTCCAAATACTCTTGCGAGAGAGTTCATGACCCTTGCTACCAGGCCAATCTGTCGGTAGAGGTTACACACACTGACACGCGTAGATAGAGAGAATTGGACACTGCCATCTTATAAAGTGGAAGAAATAGAGTGGGATAAAAAATAGTTTAAGCTGCAGCAGCCTTATAGTCACCGCTAAATGACAAAAATATAATGTGCAGGCGCTGCTAGAATTCTAATTCCAGCAACTTCTTTCCCTTGCAAGGAATAATATAGTAGTGACCCCTGAATGCATTATTGTGATGCCCAAACTAGTCTGTATCTTACTACATGCTTGTTAAAAGGATATTTGGCTAATTATCTGTATCTGCTGTTACACATTTATGCCTTTAAATTCTAATGTTATTATACTTAATTTGCATATCTTAATATTTATCTATACCCTCATATAGAATCATATGCATTAAGTATTTCACATTTTCTTGCTCCTGCTACCAGAATTTGACAGATGAGAAATGTTGCGTTTCCAGTATTGTGTTGATTCTGGGTTATTTTTAAGTCTTTTACAGTGGCATTGAAGAAGAATTAGGCTTTAATAACTATCCCAGTTTTATATCTGGGCCCATTAAGAGCTCCAAATTATGAAAAAGGTGGTTAACATCGAAGCAATCCCCACGGTACAAAGAAGCAATGAAAGTTTGATGTTTCCGGATATAAAGGTATTTGGTTTATCATTTTTCGGTGTGAATGCAGCTCTATCTTTCCAAACATGCCGAGATGGAGAGAATGTGTCCCAGGGGGTGTTGGGGGGAGGAGCCACCATCAACCCTCCACTCTTGCAGTCCCTGAAGGGCAAGCCTAGTCACGGCAATTTATATTGATATATCTGGTTGGTTTATTGGTCAATATGTTTTTTGGGGGGTTTGGAACGTGTAAATTCCTGTAGTTTGCCAAAAGGTGAGTTGGGTTCCTGTAGAGTTTTTTATTTCTGGCGCGTTAGCCCGTAGAATTTCAAAGATGGAGGTTACAACCGTAGAGCTTCATTGGCCGATTTTAAGCAATTTTTGTGCTAGTTTTATGCATTCTTCTAATTTAAGCCTGTTTTACCCCATAATTTCCGTAATATACTTCATGCCATCCCCTGCTAACAGGACTATCAATCAAGATCGGTGTAATATATGTAGTGGGAGGGAGGCATCCCCACCCACTACTATTACTTCTTGTTCTTGTTGTGTGGTAGATCGTGGCTGAGCAGTACTAAGGTACTGAGACACTCTGAAGATGTTGGTCTGAAGTTAAACTTGTCGCAGTTTTCTTGTCTTTATTCTGGGTAACTGGTACAGAAGGCAAGGCAGGGGAGCCCAGGAAAGGAGTGCGTCCTGCCGCGCCCGTTAGGGCGAGTGGTCTGAGAGAGATGGCACAGGAATTGCCATAAACAATTTATGCATGAAGACAACAGAATAAAAGCATGGAAATGTATGAGAGAATTAAGGGTCAGATTAGCGTATTCTACGGTCACTTCGTCAATGTCAGGCACAGGGCAGGTTGAAGTACTTGTGAAATAAGAACACATGGCTTTTGTGGTCTGCGAGGGGTGAGCAACGAGGGGAGCAGGTCACTAAAATCGGCAATGGAGAAATGGTACTTGATCTCCTGAACAATTCATTCACAGATGAAGCAACGCCAAAAATCGATGAAATCATTGAATTTCCTGAAGAAAAACATCATTTTTTTCGACTTTGTCTCTGGGAGGGTGTGTTGCTCTCTGTAACAAATACCAATCTGTCAACTGACTTCCTTGTCTGAAAGGCCAGCATTATGACCTTCACTACCAAGGTATGTAAAGTTCTCTGTGACTTCAATGTCCTCGCCACAAGCATGTACCAACCAAACAGTTTCTCTGCTCAGGTCCTCAAAGTCCTGGATCTTGGTCTTGGTCCAAGAGACCTCTAGACCCTGGGGCTTTCCTTCATATCACCATAATAAATGAGGCAGGCAAGCAGGGGACACAACCCTCTGCAATAGACAATATTATGACTGATTCACACTCTACCCCACAATATCCCTGGTACCTTTGATACCCTCCCCTGCTATTGGAGCCGATACTAAAACCATCGCTCGGTTACGCGAAGATATTGTAAAACATTGCCAGTTTTTAACTTGTCCGTGAAAATGTCATTCCCATCTCAGAATAACAAAATACTCTTCTTTCTTTGACCAGGAATTCTTTTTGCAATAGGGATGTGTATCAAAAGGTGCATATTGCTCAAAGCAATTTATATATAATGATAAATTTGAGCTTTTACAGTTAAAAATGGCATATTACTTACACTTGATCCTGAGCCCGACATTGCTGTGTATGTAAACAAACGTTGTGTGTCATGTATACTTTTTATCAAAAGAGAAATGGATTAATGTGTACATGAATATAGCATATCTAATTCAGATAATTCTATGGAACAATAGAAATAGACTTTGATATATTTTGGGAAGGATTAGAAACATAGAGAAATACGCAAACTTGCGGATATTTCATATCACACAACTCTCCTAAAACGAAGTGAAATCCAAATTATATTAACAAAATATCCAAAATACTTCAATGACATATGTAATAAATGTGCCAAAATTAAATACTTAGAAAACGAATGTTCGTCAATACCTAAAAGAACCACCGCCTCAGTTGTGGGTTGACTTGTTTGTGTTGTGACCGAGATCAGAGCTGTCACTTGATTAATTTCTCTCAAGTATGTCCCTCTCTCTCCTTTTCTTTCTCTATGTTTCCGGCAGGTGTTTAAGAGTGTTATCTCCATGCGAAAAAGCTCTTTGAACGAGGATATTGAGCTGGTGTTTGGAAGGTTTCTTGACCCTGATTTCTTGTTGATTTTTTCGTGTCTTAAAAAAATGTTTTCTTCCTGTTGACATTGGTATTTTTACCCTTTCCTGCATGGGTCCGGGAATTTGAGGTTGATAGGCGTAAATTTAGAGTGGGGGGTGATTTGAGGTTATACTAGAGGAATGGAAGTGGATATTTCAATATAGAATGAAAAATTGGTTTGGGATAGGCAGGTAGAACAAGATCCAAGAAACACAATTTTCAAATTTGGTTAATTAACAAGTACAGTGTAACAAATGTTAGCATTACTTTACGTCATCAAAGTTATCAGGTTTTGCATTTACTTTGCAGATATTTAAACAAATATGTTTAGAATAAATGTATATTTGGTAAACTAAAAAAAATGTGGGTTTGGCTGTAGTGTCATTAGGGTTCATGTTGCTTAATGTTACTGAGAGCAAGACAGAGATAGATGAAAATGGACATTGTCATCTTAAAGAGCATTTCCTGCAAAATGCCTAAAATATTTGCTGCATATCACTGCTCAGAGACCACAATGTCCAGAGTTCCTAATATTGCATTTTCTATAAGTTGGTATGAAAGGCTAATAATGGAAAGTACACAAGGGCTTCCCCCTCCTGTCAAATGAATAAATAGAAGGTAGGAAAGGTTATATTTGTATTTTTTTGGTTTGTATCATACCCAGGTTTTGGAATTTTGTCACTGGAGGGGGTGTTGCTCTTGGTAACAAATACCTCTTCTTAGATTTTTTTTTTTATGAGGATTAGGAGGTCATTCATTATTTTTGTGTAAATTAGATAGGTTTAAATGTTTAAACATTAGTTATATACAGTGTGAGACTGTTATGGGATTTTGAAGGGAATTAAATGTAAACAAGGTAATCAGATTTGATTTTGATGTTGGTTTTTAAGAAATGGAAGAAGATTAGATTTATAGATTTAATTGTAATCAAAACCTTGGGAATTATCTACTTTATATATTATGGAAAGATCCAAATTCCCAACACTGATAATAATGATATTGTTTGTAATTGGCGTATTCTGACTAGATTGTGTTTTTAGGTATTGATATACTAGCAGTGATATTGGTGGTAGTTAGTGGCACAGCATTGATTAATCACTATGGTATCTGCTGCTGCTCTAGTAAAGGCAATGAAACTCTATATCATGTATTAAAGATGGAGCATCTTCACCTCACCTGTTCAAGCTCACTATCTCAAGAGGATTTCTATGTTGATTATTTGGCGATTATAGGGATAGGACCCTCCAAAGTTGAATCATAGTCTTGATTTGCTCATTTGGAAGCGATACTATCAGTGCCATTATCAATGTGAAATTTGTTTAGATCAAGAATGAAGACCTTTTCTAATTAGGTAGATGCCAGAGTGTGTTTGCATACTAATTGAAGAAAAAAAGAAAAATCACATAGAATACCTAAAGTAACACAAATTTGTCAAAGTAAAGGTAACCCCACTTTGTTTGTCAAAGTCCATGGATATATGCATAAAAAAGTATTGTGGCCTCCCCACTTTATGCTCTGCCAAAGGTCAGGAAACCTTATATATTCTGGGGAGATGGAGCTTGTAAACCTCTCCAGTAGTGTATCATGAAAGGAGGAACTAGTCTGAGTTTAATCTAACCAGAATATGTTTGTTTATTGCTTGTTGGATATTGCTGGGACATGAAGCGTGAAGGCCAACGTTAGATTTTGCTGTAATATGGAGCGCGAAGGCCACTGCATCACTTAATACAGCCCTGTTCTAATTACCTACTAGGCACTATGGTAAAGTACCAAAATAATGGTAAAGTACTTTTTGAAGCTCTGAAGAATTTATTTTATTTTATTTTTTCCGATAATTGCAATATTAGCAATCCTGTATTATGAGGGATTGCTACAAACATTTGCATAGGGATCTCATTTGTGTTTCAGGAGTCACATGCATATTTTCTTGATTTGGGGAAAATTGTTCTTGGGATAATAGTAAGTAGTAAGTAAATTGTTGTAGTGAATATGCCTAAAGACATGCATTTTTTCTGCAGTTTCATAGATAGGTTATATGAGAAGAAAATAGCTGTAACAGATCCTTAAATTTTGTATATTATTCTATTCAAAAATTTGTTCTGATGGTGCTGGACAGTAGATGTATTCTGTGTTCCCACGAAAAGAGACTAGCATAGGTGCATAGGTCTCATGGTCAGTATATAATCAGTGTCGCCTTACAAGTTTGTGTCTTCACATAATGATAGTAGGGATGATTCTGGCACAAATGTCTGTGATATTAAGGATAAGGAAAATGATAATTAGGTAAATGAAAATGTTCATGATTATTATAATGATACTGGTGATAGTCACTGCAAATGACTTGGACTTGCTTCTTATTTACCATTCAGTAGTACTCAGTCCATGTCTGTTTTAAAGCAAGATTTTTTCAGCCATTTTTAAGTATTCATACATATTTGATTTTTTTCTTATTCTGTCAAAATATGCATGCCCTCATATGGATGCTAAATCAAGAAGTAAGGTTACTTGTTTGGGGCTAAGGTGGAAAAAAACTAAAAGCTAAGCTAAAAGTGAGTCATTTATAATTATGTAAGTCAAAGTTGGTTCAACTTAAGCTCAAAAGACAACCCTGGGTTGGGGGCTTCAAATCATGTTTATTTGAGTAAAAAATCTTAATTAATGTGGATAAGGCCAGTGATATATATTTATCAACTGTGTAATTACATGATAATGAAATGAGAATATTGCAATAAAATATATTGAAAGGAGTGTAGCTGTAGATATAAAACACATATGGGTCATGGCCAGGGTCCATCTTAATACTGCTTGGCCATATGCTGCAATGTGGCTGCAGAGGATCTCAAAGGCATTATCAACGAAGCAATCCCGCCACACTTACTCCACCAGATATGATGCCAGGTGATCCCTGCTGCACCTGCTCAGTTGACCCAGGCCACCTTTGGTTAGCTATAGTTCAGTAGGCCATAGTTGGGTCAGCTTTAGTTTATTAGGCTTGAAGATAGGGTAACTGTAGTTCACTAGGCCATGTTTGGCTTCATAGTTATTAAAATTATGTATGGAATTATAGTTTAGTTGATAAAAAAATCATGATTGTTCTAAAAGGCAAAATGTGAATATGAAGAGCACGATTCTCAAGCTATACAAAATGAAATAGTTCAGTATATTCTGCTTAAGCTTCTTGCCAATTTATAAATCCTTAAGTCCATATTCAGCTCTTGATGATTGAATGTTGTTCAAAGATGAATTTATACTTTATGATCATATGTAATGCTTTTTCCTGTATTTGAAGGATTTTTTTATTGTATTCTATGTATGAGCATTTCTGTTTCATATAACTAATTATTAGTATTATAAGAGAATGTTGTTGCTGATGTGCACTATATAAACTTCAGTAACTAAGGTAATGGTCTGTACTGAATTTGTAAAAGACTTCCATAGAAGCTGTCAAAACAATGGTTTTCCATGCAATTATATTGGTTTATATATGTATTATTCCACTTGACTGATATCTGTAATAAAAGGCCTACAATTTCAGTCCAACTCAGTAGTGACATATTTTCAAGCTAGAGCTCTGATTAGTTCCTTTTTTAACAATGCATTGCCTGGGAGGTCAACCAACTGTTTTATAGCAGACTTTAAGCTACATAGTGGATGTAGCAAGTAATCTAGAGATGATTTGATGTGTATGGAATTATATGCAATAGTTAAGCAAATGAATACATCTTATGGAAAGGACATGTCATGGAGCCAGTTGTATTATATCAGAATATTGATAAAGATGCAAGAATGAGTGTAAGATTAATGATATCTGCCTATCTTCCTATCTTGTTATTTATAGTACCAGGGTGTGAGTTTTCCAGAGCTTGTGTGACCAGTGGAAAACCTATACTACAATTTGCTATTATTTTTCCCCCAGTTTAATTTATACCCTTTCTTAGTATTCAAGATTAATTATACATGAAGATGCAATGTTGAATGTTGGTGTTTGATCAAATGAGAAAAATATACTTCCAGTTAAACTTTGAATGTAGGGTTACTATATTACCTGATCAGTAAGTGTCCTGAAATCTGCATCAATTTTCATTATTGTCTCACTGCACAGATACATGAGATTCTGTTGCCACAATCCAGAGAATAATTAGCTATGCATTGGCAGTCATGGAAGCCTCACATGCTAGTCTTTCTACATCAAGAATTGCTGTCAAGTGTCCCTGACCAAATTCACAGCTAATATGGAGAACGATGAGTAAGGAAATAAGTGTTATTTCCTAAAGTTGATAAAGCCAACTTTTATTTTTTGCCATCTAAACTGTGCTCCACTAACTTTTCATTATAAAGGAATGAGAGCTGTAAAATTATGCTTATACAACTACTTGTATAATTTGGTGTTGGTGGCTGCTCTTAGTGTTGTTTAACACATCTTGATTATGTTTCTCCTTGAAGTATTTCATTCTCAAAATGTTAATTAAAACTATCTGAATTTTTCCCACTTCTCTTTACATACATCTATTTTCCATATATTAATCCCTAGAGCAGTAAGGGATAGTAAGTAAGAAACCTATAGTTCACAGTTAGGAGTTGACTTAATAATGCTTGAGAATTTTTATGAGGGAGTAATAATTTTTTAGGAAAAAGAGGTAAATTATTTTCTTCCTTATTGTATTTTGCTATTTTGCAATGAGGAAGACCACCCAAAGGGAATGATTTGTATTGAATATTAAAAAAATATATATATAAACAAGATCTGATCATCTCTCAATGTCTGTTGAAATGCAATAATCTAATGCATTCCTAAAGACTCCCATTTAAAATGGAATTATTATATTCAACTGTAATTCTAAACAGCATGATAATAAGTTTATTTTTAGAAATTGACTCTATTTGGAGAAAAAGAAGTACATTAGGTATTTAAGGATATGCACATATTACATCTTCAGGGTGACAAGGTAGTCAAAAACGGCTCTTGTATGTCTTTACTGTTTGTGATTCATGGTCAAATGGACATAGATTACTGTTATCTAGTTAAAATGCATGTTTCAGTGTTGTCAATATAGTTTGTTTCTTTTTGCTGTCACTCTCATGAGTTTTATCACTCATATTAAAGTAACTTATTAATGCAGTGTGATACAAGAAGTAAGTTATATATATATTTTTTTAACTGTACATTTTCCTTCATATTATTCTTTTATTTTCTTTTGCAATTTGTATACAATGAGGAAAGCTGTTTAATGAAAGCAAAGAAAGCTTTATTGGTCTAGATGTGATATTGCTATGAAATTTATTTCTGACTGATCTGTTTTATATACACAAGCATTATTATTTTATGATTTTAGTATATTTCATAAGCTTAATTATATATCTGCTCAAGGTAACAGTTTTGTCTGACATGCATGAGATGAGAATGAGTCAATCTGCTGTGGGCTGTGTTTTGAATGGGTTCCAATTCATTTTTTTTTTCTATAGTTTCTTGAGCTGTTCTATCTTGCAAGATTCCTTCCTAATTCGGGTTAGCTGATATAAATGCATATGTTTGTGTCATCATAATATGACAAAACATTCTGTTTAGCTCATACTGACTTGTCTTGCATAGTGTATATAAGCTATAAACAGATAGAAAAGTATAAAGATATATGTATTCATGCTTAGGCCTTATTTAAAAAAAAACAATAACAATTTATTTTAAGACACTAAATTAGTTTTAGTAATTGCAATGAATTAACTCTGTAATATTATGTATATACATGTATGTCATCAATCAGCATTTTCCTTTTTCCATCCAATCTTAAGCAATGAGTGCGGGATGACCAGCTGGTTGCGAGGGTCACCCCTGCGCACGTCGCTGGGCCGGCGTCGTGCTCCGTCCCCTCTTCACGATGTTGACCCTGCGGCTGCGTTCCACTCATTCATTAAACACTGGCAGCAAACATGTGAAATCATTTCCAGGACCCAGTTGAGGGGACAGGTAATTTACTGTTTGGGAGAGGAATGATGGGGCCTCTGGGCCATTATTGTTCTGATTTTGTTTATTTATTTATTTATTTATTTATTTATTTTTTATTATTACAACTTCTTTTTTGGTATGGTTGATTTAATCTTGTGTATACCATATAGTCTCCACTTGAAGCCGATGAATGATTGATGTTAAATTCTTTGGATTTATGAGACTTTAAAATATTTGATTATTCCAGATACATTCTCCCATGTTGTCATTAATGGTTTACAGGCATGTGCTGATGATGTTACTGCTGTCATCAACCACCTTGCGCAGATGGTCACACTTCTGCTGGTGGACTTAAGGCAGATAATGGCTCACAACACACGTACTCAGAATGGTATTGGTCAGAAAAATAATGGCAACGAAGTGAAAAATACTTGTCCTTCTGAAGGTAACAAAGACTCCAACAGCCAACATGCATCTTTGCCAGCAGAAAATCCTCCTCATACTCCAATCTTTGACCACTTCCTGGGAGAAGAAATTCTTGACAAAGTTCTCACTTGGAGCCTCAATACTGGGGAATTTGTGAATGCCCTCAAGTTGGAACAATTAAAGGTATGAGCTTTACCATGTTTCGTTATGTTCTGGCAATTAGATCAAAAAGTTAAGATCATTGGATTGATTAAAGGGGTTTACTGCCCTGCAATTTTATTTTGTATATAAAAGTAATATCTTATCACCCTGATTATGAAAGCTTGTTTATACATATTACAGGTTCATGAGCAATTACTCAGCCACTCAAGGCAAGAAATACTTGTGTACAAGCCCATCATCCGTCCATTGCTCCGACTTTTGGCTGCGTGTGGAGGTTGTGTCCCAGTTGAAGTGGAGAAACGTTTGGTTGTGCTTCTGAATCAGCTGTGTGTCTCACTTATGCATAATCATCAGCTTCTTGATTTCTTTTTCCAGTTCTCCAATGATCAAGGACCTACCAAGTTAGTGCATATCTATTGTATTATCTTTGCATTTTTACATTAGGTGCATTTTTGTTAGGAGTGACACCTATGTATTGCAATCACTGGATTGTTTTTCCCACCTTTTCCAGGTTCATGATTTTCTCACTATTGCTGCCATTTGTTCATCGAGAAGGAGGCATTGGGCAGCAGGCGAGAGATGCTCTACTTCTCTGTATGGCTCTCTCTGCTTCACATACCTCTGTGGGCCAATATATTGCACAGCATTCAAATTTTTGTCCTGTAAGTTCATCAACTTTTGTTTTATGTACTACTGGCAAGGATATTTGCTATTATCTTTATTTGTTAACATTTGTGAATATGCAATTTTAATTAATCACTCATTTCTGTTCACAGGTTTTAGCAGCTGGGCTCAGTGGCCTCTATTCTATGTTACCACGCACTTTGACTATTGAGTCAGATGGTTGGCATCGCCTAAGTCCAGAGGACATAAGTGATATTTCTCAATTACAGTTGTTCCTGAATTCTCTAGAATTTTGCAATGCAGTTGTACAGGTTAGTTGCATTTGTATGCACACTTAATTAATGTTATGCACAGTACCAGTAGTATACTTCATATATCTTTTCCTTTGAAAAGAGTATATTTTATTTTAGCAAGTTTTTATATTTATATATGATAAAGTTTACTGATTAAATACAGTGTGACTAATGTCTGTTGATAGTTTTATATAACAAAATCAGTGCAGATGATCATTTTTCTTTTAATAATGGTTAGGATTGATTTTGATTCTGAAAATATTTTTACTGTCTTCTTTTGAAACAGGTTGCTCATCCATTAGTAAGGGTACAGTTAGTGGAATTCTTGTATCAAGGATTCCTTGTTCCTGTGTTGGGGCCTGCACTACACCAGGTCAGTGATTTCTTGCACTTGGTATACTTGTTTTAAGCACCAGTAATATGTATATGTTATATAGTCACCAGTAATGGCCTAGTGAGAGATAATTGGGGATACATTTTTATTACTTTGCCATTTGTGATTCCTGCTGCTTGATAGTTTGTCATACAAGTTAATATTTGTTTTGTTGTCATTTGTTTTCTTTCTGTACATATGCGTTGCTTATGCTGTTGAAAGCAGTACTTGGCAGTAGCCATTGTTACTTCAAGATGTGCAGATTGTTTGTAAAAGTCAAATATGTTTGTTTATAAGTCTTTAACTTGTTGGGGTGTAAGAACATTTGGGGTCAAGAAAAGCATGCAAAAATAATTTGTCTAGATTTTTTTTCTCCTTACTGATTATAGTGTTCCCATAAAAAAAAAACTATAGTGTATTCTGTGTGGGCCCTTTCCTTCATTTTTCATGTTTAGTTAAACCATTTCAGTTCCTTAGTACTATTATGTGATTCAGCTCTAAAAACCATTCTTTATTATAATTTTAAAAAGGGATGTATTCTAGATTCTTTTGTAGGCAAGGTAATAGGAATGTATTCCAAAAAATTCAAGGCAGAAAGTCTTGTACTAAAAAGAAGAAAAAGCAGTTCATTGGGCTGAAATATGTTGTCATTTTTATTTGCCTGGGACTCTAGCATTTTAATTTAAAGCAATATTTGTATTTGCTTTTAGTGATCAAAGTAAATTTGATAATTGCTTGAGTTCTAGATTTGATGCAGATTTTTCCTTGAAGTGCTTTTTGTAAATTCGTTTTGGACTGTATATTAAATTGAGAAGGGTTCTTTTCTTTTTGCTTCTCTTTTCCATTAGAATGTGTAGCCTTTTCTTGTCATTTCTAGAGTTACCTTAAGTGTTTGGGCCTTTTGTATGGGTATTTAAAGTGGCATCTGTTCTTATTTGCTTCTTTGGGCCTTTCCACGACTTGGTACCAACTGTGGGCCTTCACAGGGTGGCGCAGTCAATGGGGATATCAGCGCTCACAACTCTCCTGTTTTTCTGGTCAGTATTTCTGGCTGCTAGTGTGCATGGTCTGTCACCTTGAACTAGGTTGTAGTTTTAAGGTATGCCTCTTTGTGTAAGATGCTAATTTAAGCTTTAATTTTTAAGTTTTGACTTTATGCCCTCTGATTTGGGCTGCAAAGTGAGTAGAGGTTATTTAATTGTGTGCGTAAATTTGAAAGCACCTTCACAAAGTTTTTTATTTGTAAGTAGTGAAGAGCATTTCTCTGTGCATGAAAATTTAAATTTTCATGCAGTTTTTGAATAGCAGATGATTCTTCATTTATATAATTTTTTATAAAGACACTTTGCCTAGGCATTCCCTGTTAACAGGAAGAAAAAGTACCCATAAACTGCACTTGACTTTAATGTGTATTGACCACAGTGTCAGTGCTGATAAAGCTCCTCATACCCTCTTTTTTTATAGCTCTAGTCAAAATAAACTAATTTTAATAAGATGAAAAAATGTTTTATGTTATGATTTCTTGACAACAGAACAATTATATAAAAGTTGAAATTTAATTCTTTCATGTTGGTAGCTAACGAGAGAATATGATTGTGAAATTGTGCAGCACCAGTTAGTATATTTCAGGTGTTGTTTTGCCATGCATCCCTGTTCCTGTTGGCTAAATTTACAAAATAATGAAGAAAAAAAATTGAAGGCAGTATCTGTGTATATGAATCCAATTTTCTTGGATTATATAGGATATCTCTTAAATCTCCAAATTTACCAGCCCCCCCAAAATGGCCAGGTCTCTTTAGGTTGGTGCTTAGCAACTCTTCTTGATGCTACAACCACCACAGACTGTGAAACGCATTGATGCTGCATGGTACAGAGAGGATGTACAATTACAGCTGCCAGAAGCATCCACTTCACTCTTGCATCCCATTATATTCCACCCGTGCCACAGAATAAGTTATGATGATTATGTTAACTAGCAAAAAAAGGCTTGCATTCTTGATGAAGAAAGTAAGTAATTTTAAGTAATATATCTTATGTGGAAAATCCAAGAATATACCTCATAGTAAAATTCCATTTTATAAAGACTAAGGTTTCATTGATGCATGGATTTCTCAATACTTGTTTATCTGTAATTTTTTTCTGCAATATCTAGGATACCATGGTACAGATTTATAGGACTGAACTTCACCCATGACCTGTGAATCTGAAGATATTCGAAAGAGTAGCTGATTTGCTATTAGGTGTGCAACGACAGACATTTTATATTCCATAAGGAAATTAATTTTTGGTTTTGATGGACGACAGTAACAGAAAATGAAAAATGTGATTGAAGAGTGCCTGGTCAATCTGGCAGCTACCATTAAACAACCACTATCTATCATGTTCCTTGAGGCACCAGTGGATTTCACAGTCTGGGGTGGTGGGAGTCTCAGGGAAAATAACCAAATACCCTTGTAATAAGCTAGTGAACCTAGTGGACAGTCAGCCACACATTTTAAGGCCTAAGATTCCAGCAGTCTTTCCTTGGGCACTGCATATATTGTTAGCATAAAGAGATGATGATTAACCCACTGCTGCAGGGATTGTGTAGTAGGCCACTGTGGTTTTGTTTTGTGAAATATCTTTGCATAGATGGCTCCACAGATACTCAGCTACCAAGGAGTCATTTATCCCCCTGGATCCAGTTTCAATGGGTTACGTAAGTGGAAAGCATCCCGGGCGTGCGGTGCGTAGGCCGGGCGCTCACGAACACCCAGGAGTGGTGACAAGACTCTGTGCCTCCCCTTTGAAAAGTTATTTTGTGTAAACTTTTTTAGTTTTATTACCATTTTCCAATGTCTATATTTGTCTTTTAATTTGTTTTATCCAGATGGTAATTTCTTATTTTCCTTGCACAGACTCCATATCATCTCTCTATGTAGTAAATAGCTCAGTGCAAGAAAGAAAATATATGGAACATTTGGTTATTTGTATCATATATCTCATTTTTATGTAATTTTCAATTTTATGTAATACGTGAAATATTTAGATGTTGTATTACCATGTACCATACCTGGGGACTCTTTAGAAATACAAATACTTTAAAAGTGATAAGTTAGAGATTTAGTGTTTTTGTTATAATTGTATCATGGTACAGATAGATATGATATTAGCAATGACAATGATATTTTAAGAATTATTCTATATTCAAAGATTAGATAGTCTGTATTCCTTTGTTAAGTTGTTTATATTCTGTGTGTGGCAGCATTCCTTATTACCTTAACCATCCCAGCTCTTCCTTCCCAACTATGTGATCCAAGTCTAGACAGAAGCTTATTTAATGCTGATACTGTGTTATCTGATATTGATGAAAAGAGGATACCTGACCTAACGTTTTCAGCAGACTTGATTTAGTTCATGCTGTCCTATTTTATCCTGCTCTCTATTGTCCTCTCCTATTAACCAAGCTTGTCCTACTCTAACCAAGCCTTAACCTGACAAAGCCCACCTTAATGATGACCACTTACATGCTGCATGGCCTTTAATTTGGAATTAAACTCAAGCCTTATACAAGTAATGTGTAGGCTTGTCCATGTATACACAATTATTTGATAAAAATATCAGTTCTGTATAGAATTTTGTTTAAACATTGGTAAGTAACATTCTTTCCCCACAAATTCCGTTGATTTTTTGGCTAAGTTATTCTTTGATACTTGAAGGAAATATGTAACTTTATATGCATAGTCATTTCTTTCATGTATGCTTTTAAAAATCTTTGGTATTCATTTTATTCTTTTTTTGGGGGACCAGTCTGTGGTTGGTGAAGTTGTTGCAGCCACTGCTTATGTAGAGCTGTGTTTACGAACAGTAACCGAGCCAGAGCTGAGGAGGGCTTTCCTGGCCTTCCTCCTCACTTCTCCCAACAATCCAGCCTTGGAACCTCCAATCATAACTATACTCATTTCAAGATTACACTCGCCAAATACAGTAAGTCTTTTGATTTGCTTTTTTTGTGTGTGCTTTTTATGACTGCCATTTCATTTTCAATTTTGGTTTACAAAATTTATTATTGAGAGTATTTGGATTGAAATATCTTAGTTCTTGATTATTTTGTTAATTATATGCATAGTATTAATAGATGTTTGTTTAATGTCTTTCTCAAGGAATTTAATAAATATTGTCTTTTCAGCAACTGTGCCTGGTTACTCTTAGTCTGTTTTGGACTTTGGTGGAACTGAACTGTGAAGACTTAATGATAGCACTCGTTTTCCAATACCTTACTCCTTGCACACATGTTATGCTGTCACAGAGGTCACGCCTTACACAGCCCCCACATCCTGGAGGCCATGCATCGCAACTCATGCCTACTGTATGGTCACTTGGACACAGAGGTCCATACACAGGCACGCCTGAGCCATGCAATCGCATATGGCTACTCATGCCAGGAATGGTACTTTCAGTTCATATTTAAAATTTCATACATTTCACATTTTTATTTTTATTATATAGAATAAGGAAAACAAGAGCATGATATCCACTTTCTAAGGTTCATTCTCTTTAATAATTTATTTTCATATACAATGTATTCGAAGAAGGAAAGAAAGGCTAGTTTCAGTTATTTATATTTTCCTCATTATGTCTTACAGGTTGAAACCCAACCGAAGAAACCAGAGAGTGGAGACTCCTCTCAAACACCGCAAACATCACTATCACCTCAGCCATCACCAACGACTTTAACTGTGCCACAACATCATCGATCACTCTCTAACACATCATCTTGCTCATCAGAAAGTGACTCCGTCTTTGAACAACAGACCCCATATTCTGACTACCTACAAGATGCTCGTTCAAGAATAGAAGCAGGGACTATTGCCTGTAGCTGTTGGGTTTGGAGGTATGATGGTCTTAGTCCCACTCCAACTCAAGCTATGGAGATGTTGGATGCAGCACGCACTAACCCACCTGTATTATATTCTAAGCCACGTGCCCACTCTGATCCAGTACCAGTTCATTCTTCAGACTTGCCACAAGCAGAGGCCAAAGTTCGAAGTGTAAGTCTACCCTCAGCTATGGGCAGTAGAGAGAAAGGGGATAGTAATGAAACGAGACCAGTGGTTAACGGTATATGTGATAATCATAACAATGATGTAAGAGGGGCACAGCATGCAGCTGCAGCAGCAAGAGGTGTTGAGAGAGCTGCTGGGGCTGGAGGGGAAGAGGAGAACCTGGACTCTCTTGGTGAAAGCAGTGGATATGAAAGCTTCAACATTAGGGCATCTCGAGACTCCTCCCCTGCCCATAGTTCCCATGGCTCTCCTAGGAATCGTGTAGTCCACCATGAGTCACCAAGTTTAGAAGAAGCCTCCTCTCAAGGCTCACCAGGAGACAGAGGACCAAGGGAAAGAAAAGGGTCAGTCTTGAGCTCAGAGGAAGATCAGGAATTCATGGATACATTGCAGAGGTCATCAACTCCCACTGAAATGACAGGGCTAGAAGAAACACTGTGTGAAATTGAGCAAGCATTCACTGCATTTAAGATATTTGACGTGAGCTCCTCAACATCATATAACAAAGTAAGTATTTTCTCTGTTAAATTTATTTGTTGGTCAGTTTATTAACTTTAGGACTTATATTTAAAACTTCTTCTGGGAGTATGCACATATTATGCACTGTTTGCTGTGGTTTTGCTTTATTAGATTTGTTTAAACAGGGATTGACTTCCCCAATGGAGTCAATTTTCTGAAAGTTCTCATTTATAATACTATTATTATTGTAAACTTTTTAATAGTAATAATATTGAGAAAAGTAATTATTATAACAATGATATTAGTAATAATAATAATAGAAATAAAAATGTCATGAAATAGGATAAGCATGAGATTGAGATCAAGTAGGCCTTGAAAAAGGATAAGAATGAGATTAAGTAGACCTAGTAATTGACTCCTGAACAACTAAGCATATGTGAAGCTTTCTATATGTAAACTGAATAAATGAAACGGAACCACAGTGGACAGTGCATGTACCCAAAATACCTAAATTTGGACATTATTCTCACATAAATGGCCACTCTGCTAGTGTGTGTGGCATGTAGGCTGGGTGTATGTGAACAGTTGTGTGTGGTGACAAGTTTCTATGCCTCCCCTTTGCAATGTTATCTCTTTTTATGCATAATTGTTTTTAGCTTGTTTATTATATGATTTACTTTACCCAGATGCTAATAAAAGAATATCCCTGCACAGACTCCATATCATCCGTCTAGGTAGTAAATAACTCTGTGCAGGAAAAAAAATGTAACAGTGTTATTTGTGTCATTAATTTTTTTTTCTTTGTGATATTCAATTTTCTTTAATGCAACCTGTGGTGCTGGTCACAGCAGCCAGGAATAAGATGCTGAGTTTGGAGATAGCATCCTCCATGAAGCTCTTCCAGTCATGGCTCATGGATATTACATTCCACACTCATTTATCGATGGGAATAATACAAAAGCCCTTTTCTATATGCCAAATATCAACAGTAAGTTAGCGTCACCTGACCCACAGCCATTTTTTGCCATGAAGGCATGTTCAAGTCACCCATCCATCAAGCCAGATTTTTTATTGAAGTCATGATCATGTCAGCCGGATTGAAGGGGTTAATCATATGAAGCAATATTCCCAAGAATGGGATTGGGAGAGGGGAAAGAATTTTAAAGGGATATGATATGTCTAAGAGTACCAAAATTACTTTTTCATATAAGCCACTTCCAGTTACAATAAAAGATAGATGGGACCCATAACAGTTTGATAGGGTCAGGGAGAGGAGGAGATTCAACAGGATTAGGGGTGTTGAGGTGGTACAGTGGGCATTGCTGAAGGAAATTTGCCAGGCAGTATCAGATTTATTATCTGACATTACATTTGTTTTATTTATAACAAAAATTGCAGGAAAAAGCCCTCTGGTTTTTGACAGCTCCTTGAATCCAAATAAACTAATCCTCAGCTAATCCTTGCTTCTCACTCTTGTAATGGATGAATTTACTGTCTATTTCATATACAATAAATTTTGTCTTCATTCTTCATTGATACATTTTGCGCATCAAAAACTGTTTCCCTCATTAGTGTAGGTGTTGAGTAAGCAGTAGACCAACAAAGTTTAGAATGTTAACGTTGAGATAGAAATAGAAAATATTTAGGGTTGTGTTGTTGGTTGTTGGCAGGTGTTCCTGCAGCAAGGATTAGAAATGAGGATTTCTACAGCTTCATGCTTGATGGAGGAGAGGGCAGGAGGAGGAGGCAGGGGGGAGGCCGGAAGGGGGGCATGGAGTTAGGTAAATGGGATTAGGGAACTTGTGTGGTGGAAGTGGGGTGGAAAAGGGAGGGCGTGAGGGACGGGACAGTGGGGAACCTAGGGGGCATGGGGGTTAAGAGAGAGGACGACCGGGGAATGTGATGGGGAAAGGGAGGACCCTGTACCGGTAGGGCCCCTTTCTGGCCCTGCGTCATGCATATTGTTGTTTATTGAACATATTATATTATAGTCTGTGTGCGTCAAATACGTGTCTGGTCTTTATGTCCCTAAGTCCATGCTAGTTTTTAATGTAATGCAATCATTACCACAGCCCACACAACGGGCCCACACATAATATATTATATTACGTAATCTATAGACATAATATATCCAAGTAATAGAGTGTAGTATAATATATATATATATTAATGAATATCAATTAATAATATAAATATGATACTATAATATTATATATGAGAGTATAAATGTATATTATAATATCATGATAAAATATATATTATATATACGTATATATTTATTATATATATACATCAATAACACACACACACAAGGGTCACCCATCGGACTAACACAAACACTACAATCCTGGCCACACAAAGGTTTATATGTTCTTTTGATTTCGCACACGTTAGACTAAGATGCTCACTTCAAAAACACATCAATTAATATTAGTATAAATATATATATATATATATATGTAATTTATTACATAAATTTTATATATAGTATAATAATATTTCATATCGTTATGTATGTATTGTATATGAAAGTTGGTGAAAGCACCCAAACGTCCCTTTGACCCTAGGTTTGATAAAGAAGAAAGAAAAAAACGTCCGCGAAGGAATGACAAACATGGGCCGCGCGTGCAGCTATGTATGTGCATCAGTACAATTAACCAATTGGGTTTAACTGTTTGATCAATCTATAAACACCGACGACACACTCATTGTATAACGTTGTAATCCCATCTTCTAAGTGATACACATCATGGTAAGAGCGGGTGTTGGATTTCTCCGAGTCTTTCAGCTAAGAATGCTGAACTAAAACACGGAATCAGGTGATCGAGTAAAACGTGTATAAGAAAGATCTTCAGCGCTAGGATCACTTAGGCAGGCGAATGGGCCTACCTCACAGTTGCAATAGGTCGGTGCATGATAACGAACCACGCCTTAGGGCAGGTCCATTGATGTACCCCTTCGGCACGCCTTCCCACGTGTACCGCAATCAATACGTGTTTTTGCCCAGCCAGGTCAGAGTCGGGCTGGGCGGTTCCTTGGGGGGGCGGGGTGCATATAGAGGCCTGTCCGAGGGTTAGGGGGAGAGAAAGGTCTCATTGAGCAGGATAGCTCACATTCATGCCGAGATCGCAGCCGGTCAATTGATTCAGCAAACAGAACAACCCAAAACACAAATTCTAGGGTATATAGCATGATGGAACAAGAGTCTTCATTTGACTTGTGTGGGTTATTTTTTTGATTATTATATAGTTAATTAATTTAATTTTTTTTTTTGTCTTCAGAATCATATTTAGTGAATTTTATTATTGCACAATGGGTCGTATTAATGAGTTGCTGGTAGAGGGCAGACTGGTTGAGTGGCAGCAATGTGTCGATTTTAATCAAAAGCAATAAGTTAGAAGGAGAGAAAAGACGCGAGGAGCTAAGATTTTAAATTATCAAAAGAATGAGGAATAGAGTGTCAGCTAGGGGCTGGGTTACTGGAGGAGGAGAAGGAGTACAGTAGGTGAGAGAGGAAAGGCGAGGGAGGATGGGAGGGTATATAGAAAGGAGATGAGAGACTGAGGATAGATAGGAAGAGGAGAGCTTGGAGAGGGGAGTTAGGATAAATAGGAGAAAGTGGAGAAATGAGGGGAGAGAGAAGAGAGATGAGAGGAGGTGTGAGAGGATAGAAAGGGATATGAGATGGAGGAAGGAAAAAAGGTTAGAAAAGAAGGAAGAAGGTAGGAGAAGGAGAGAGGGAGGGAAGTTTGCAAGACGTAAATTGGTGCGTGAAAAAGGAAAGCTAGGAAAGAGAATGGGGTGATGAGGAAAAAGGATAGAGAGAGAAAGAGGAAAAGAAGTGAAGAGAGTAGGGACACTTCCATAAATGTTTAAGAGATACAGTCGAGTATTGGAAGGAGAGGCACTAAATTGTTAAGCAAGAAAGGGACGAGAGATATTTGGGACTAGCAATGTAGGTAGGATCGAATTATTGGGCTGCACTAAAAAAAGGAAGAAGGGTTTTACTCTGGCAATCCTACTTGGTAGTATTGACTTTCATTGGGCAAAAGTGGAAAAATAAGGTAGAATAGGAAGACATACATGGGTAAAACCTTGCTGATAGTCATATAATGAGTTTATGAGGCTTATATTCGTGAGAATCCAGGAATCTCATCCTGCGTAGGATGCAGGACTTGATGTCATATGAATGAGGTATCACCTAGGGTTAAGTTGAAAAATTGATTACCATGGCTTTTTTATGACTGAACCATTTATATCACCTTTGACTTTTTTGTGATCTTTTTGGGCATACTGATCCCCTTTATGACTTGAATGTCTTTGGAGATAACTTTATGGTGCAACTTATGTGGCATCATGGCTTTCTAAATTATCAGAGTCAATCATGTTTGATTGATTCCTAAAGACCAAAAAGTATGTATACCATTTCTTGACCAATGCCACTCTGCACCACAAACATATAGAATGAGAAGATAGTACCAAAGGAACTTTTAAGTGATACTTGTGTTGATGGCAATAATTCCGGGCCATTGTTCCGGGCCATTTTCCTAGTAGTTGGAAGAAAGTGGTATTTTTTTTTTAAAATTCAGAGTACTGATAA